AATAAGTTCTTATAAACCGTGATGAACCTACTAAAATACCCATTTGCCTTTCAACATTTAAGAGAGAAGTTTGATGATGTCCTGCTCTACTATAACCACCTAGCTCTTGAGCTGCAGACAAGCTCTGCAACCTCCTACAACCAGGACTAACAGCAAGCCAGTAATTTCTTAAATCAGAGATGCTTTATGTCCTCTTTGATGATTATACTGCGTTGATCACTGCTTACTTAAGGGATTAGCTGTATTTAAGACTGGACTACCAAGCATTTTTGCCCTTCCATACAATCTGCAATGAGAAATCAGAATGGGATGATAACACTGAAATCATTACAGTGTCTCATATGCAACCAATCCGGAGTCTCTTTTGGAAAAAGGAACTTTCCTGACTGCTTGTTAAACCAGCTTTAGGGACACTTCATATTCTCAAGTGCCACAGCAGCTGAAGAGATGAAACAATCAGACTCCTGATATGTCCAGAGTCCTAGGGTCCATTTCTATGACCAAATGTATTGCATATTTATAATGAAAACACAAGATATAATGATGCTATTCCATACCAAAGGGAATAGCTCAGGGAAACAGTCCTTCCCTTAGGAGGGAGAGGACTGCTTACAGCAGACTGTAAGCAGAATTCCTAAGGGAGCTTGACCACAAACTGAAATGTACCAAGTGAAAAAGGGATGCAGGAAGCATTGAAGCCTTTCCTGTTGCAAGTCAAGTAAATGACTGGAATACTGACATGGGACGGTAACCAGTAACGTTTGAACGTTAAGCTCTGGTCTTAACTCAAGCATGTTCTTACACAGCTGCTATCACTGGCATTCTTCTAACATGCCCTGTTATTAATGATAAAACAGACCTCATGGATATCATGGTTTAAATGCTGTTAACAGCATTTCAGAGGGAATTCTGACAGCAGAAGTCAGCCCTTCCAACCGGCCCATCTGAGAGTGAAAAAGAAATATTTGCTCAGACTTCAGAGAGTCATTTTGGTATAGAAAAGGAAGATAAAAGCAGGAATCTTTTACAATATGAGCTAGCAAATCAAAGCAAATAGGGATTCCACTCACTGATAATCCAAAAGAAAAGAGACAGTTGTAAGACACATACAGCACTGTTTGTTCGAGGCAATGTGATTATATCTCATGCCAACAAACTATACGCTAGTAATGAAAACACAGAACACGGAATAAAAATGTAAAAGAAAAAAGAAAGAAAATATTCTCTCCAATACAAGCAAGTGGTAACTGCAGCACCATGGACACTGCACTCAGTGTTTACCAGCACAGTTTATTTTAAGTACTTCAATTATATTTCAAAGCGTTCAAAAGCATACATTTAAATCAGTCAGAAAGATCCATCTGTTATCACTTCCTCTTAATCTGGAAGTCATTAAAAAGCCCTAAATCTGGTTGCTTAATTATTACATCTATCATTGCTGTTCAACAAAGAAGAGTTTATTTTTAAAAACATCTCTACCACCGGAGTCTCCCACTTATTCCTAGTACCATGTCTAAAAGGCTCTGCACCACACCCAAGATGTTGATGAAGAGAGTAAGGAAGATAAAGCTGATGCCATGACAGAGTTTTTTTCAGGATGGAAATACACTTAATAGCAAAAAGGAAGTGCTTTTTGGTTTTAATGTAATGCTTTATTTTAGTGTAAACTCACTGTATTAAATCTGAGATCACATCATTATTGCAGGAAAGCAATTATTTTATATGCATACAGACAAAACCAATGCTTAACTAATTACACGTATTTTCATCACCCCAATGAAGAGGTACATGAAACATCTGGGGAAGAGTCATTAAAACATTGAGAATTATTGTTATTTTGATAGAGACAATAACAAATCACAAATGTGCAGTGTTTGCAACTGCTTACAGACAGAAATACATGCAGCCAGCTGGATCCCCAGTAACTTTTTTTAAAAAATAGAAAGAAAGGCATGTATGAAGTAATGCTCACAATTTAAAGTATAAGAATTTTGCTAGAAATTTGCATAGCTAATGAGCATATTGGTTTACAGTCTTATGACAAGTATTTGTTTGGTGACAGAACCAGGTATGAGTTGTTCAAGAGGTCTCCTCTGTTTCTTTAAGCTTTATGAAAACTTGAGCTAATTGTGTGTAGGCAGAGTTCAAATACAGTTTCCAAAGATGAACTTTGATTTATGTTTCGAGCTCTGCAGTAAATTTACAGTACATTTGGAGATAGTATCTGCCTAAAAAAATTATTCCTATTTAGAAACAGAAGGAAGTACCAAACATTTACACATCAGAACTGATTAAACTGTCTAATAAGCTGATGAGCCCTGACAATGGTGACTATAGAGAGGAACTTATTTTTCTTTCAGTAGCACTTCTGAAAGATTCATAGAGAATGCAGAGCTCATTTCAAACCTCTTTAAAGAGGAGAGAAATGTTTATATAAAGATATACTACATTGAGAGTTCTTACTGTCTTCTCTGCCTTTCTCAGTTCAATTCCATCCACTTTTTCTCCCTCCCCCTCCCATTAGCATGCTTAGAAGCTTGGGTAGATCTTTTGCTACTTCAACATATGTCAAATGTAAAGTTTAAAAAGGTGCTGAAATTAAACAATTATACAAACACAGGGCAATAACCTCTTGGTAGTTGAAGCTCAGCTACAAGTAGCATCGATTTTCCACTGCTTTAAAATGCACATAATACAAAAGACCCAATGAAGTGAAACAGGGAACAGGAGACAATATGGGAACACACTGATTAGAGAGAAATAAACCAGTGAAAAGTCCTAAGGAGAGGGGTGATATTGCTGCAGTCCAGTTAGTGCGTACAAAGCCACGTACACCAGATGCATACATTAGACTAACAATTCTGAATTTGATCCTTAATTCTATGTCCATGTGTCTAACAGGCAGGTCCTAGTAACATCTGTAACTAGCTCACAAATACTTGTTCCCTAGGACTTTGAAATGAAGTATTTCTCTAAAGCATAAGAACCATTTGTCAAAATAACTCATGGAAATGGATTGGTCTTCAGCATCCTGCAACACAGGCACTCAGTGACATGCAGCACTGCAGCTTTGCTTTTCAACCACCTCAAATGCAAGCAGAATGCACAACTCAACAGCAAAACAAACAGCTGAATATTTTTCATTTCAATATGTATGCCAGTAGTCTAACTGATATTACGCACCACAGGGTTTCCACTAACTTTTTGCCAAACTCTTACATCTATAGGCTGATCTGGCATTGTGTCAGGCCTGTTAATAAATTGCATACAAAGCAAATGCACTTGTAAGGTAACAGTTCTCAGGATCTACAACATTTGGACACCCTTGTGTCAAAGTGACATATTATAATTAGTATTTTATCCAGTGCTGCATTTATCCAATTTATCGAGTTTAGAATGTAAATCTAAAATCTTAAAAGAAACAATTACTTTCATTTTCTTCCACCTTAGCAGAGACTCAATTCAAGCCATAAATGGGAACCCTTTTGTACCATCCCATCAGTCATGACCCAGAGTAATCTTCAACAAAGATTACAACAAAAAAATTTAGAGAGTCAAAAAGAAATATATAAGTACTGCAAGACTAGGCTGTTAATTTGGGAAGGTTCTTCAGCTGATACATATTACCTATATCCTAAGGTCTCCCACAAGTAGTTCATAAAAAAAAAATAAATCTCAGCTGCTACATGAGTTGGACTTAAAAGTGATGAAGCACCTTATAATTTGAACAGTATCAATGAAAAATAACTAAATAATTCCCTACCCAGAAAGGATAATGAAAACTCCTAGCACCGAAGCTTATTTCTCTTAAAGAAAGCCTCCAGTGGTGTGATAAAATAAAGTTTTTTTTAAAAAATCTACACAAAGAAAACTTCTAGATCTGGTTTTGTTGCTCCTTTTGTTCTTGTCTGAGGCTTGAGAAAATGTATGACTTCCTCACTAAGAAAACTTCCAGAATGCGTCTCCTAAATCCTCTGCCTACAAATACATGTACATTTGGGTGATTCAGCTGAAGATGCACATACTTTTGGTTGGGGGCAGGGAAGACTCCACCCAAAACTCTTTTTCTTTTTTTAAAAGAATAATTACCAGAAGAATAATACAGCCGTTTTGAAAAATGGCTATAAAAAGAACATTTGTGCTTCTCTGCTATTTATACTGTAAAGGAAGAAGGACTAAAAATTGGCAGCAGGCATTTCTGCACGTTTTATACCTCAGAAATACAAGTATGCCAAGAATTTTCATCTGTGGTTTCACTGCAGAAATCCTCAGATTTCAAGAAACAGGAGGGGAAAAAATTGTCTCGTTCCTCTGCTAGACGACATACTGCCACACATCTGTGGCAAACAATAACCATTTTCCAGAAGTTTTATTAAATAATGACAGATTTCTTTTTAAAGGCATTTAAAGAAAACTCTTTTGCAATTTTTAGAATAATCTGAGAACGTGAAGATAACATTGTAGCACAAAAGACAAGTGGAAAATCTTCTTTTAAAAAGAAAGTAGGGTTATTCAGGTCATTCTTCTATACAGCAAAGCACTAATAAGGATCAAACAGAGCTTTTCTTACCATGCAGAACATCATTTGACCATTAGAGAAGCTGCTGTTGAAATGGGAATACTGGTACTTCATACAAGTAGTATGTAAAATTTGCACTTTATAGCTGTTCCACTGGAAAATGGTGAAGGGAGTAATATAACTCTCATCAGGCAAGTACTCCCACACACTGTCTCCGTGTGAAAATCTTGAGGCTATAAACCACCAGCTGCCCTGAGAAATTAGCTAAAAACTAAAGCCTTGTGTCACAGCCAAGTGAACTCTTCTTTAGGTCAACATGAAGATTTACTGGCACACAGAACAAGTATACACCAACTTCAAGGTAAAAAGACTTCGACACAGATATCCAAGTTAGGCTCTATCAGCTTCATATTTCAGCTCCTTCCACCTGAATTGGCTTCTCTTGTCTAAGTCAACTAATGCACAATTCAACAGCCTTGACTTACTGTGAGATGTGAGTTATTGGGGTCAACAGTGTCTCACCCTCCAGGTCAAGCTCATCGGCATAGCTGCTGGTCCTGATGAAGGGTCCTGTGTTCACATCTAAAAATGCTGGGCTTTTTTTCACTGTGAAAAAACATGCAGATAACAGTTAAAGTCATAGCATTTGGGTACCACTTGTTTGCATCTCTGAAATACTGTACATATTAACAAAATATTGCAAACAGAAGTTACTACAAAAAAATTGAATGTACAGCAGAGTTCACGAAAAGCAAAATTTTAACTCTTCTACCCAAAGCATTTCTTCTGGTGAAAATTTTAAACTAGTATTTTTATTTTATTTTTTTCATACTCGTCATACACTAGCTTCATGCATTATAAAACACTCAGCCATATCATGGCTCTACAGCAACAGTGCAGGAGTGCAATTCAATGACAAAACCAGTTCCTTTTTATATCATCTCTACTTCATGGTTTGGTTTATAATACCAGATTCTGGTGACGGTGATTAAGAATAAGAAGCCAGGCCTAGATCAACACAAGAGGCTAGGCATTCTCATGGTGAGCTGTCAGCTCCTGTCACACACTGAGTCGATCTGCTCATTCCCTCTCACACCTAGGCATGAACACACCTCATTTTTGGGCTCAGACACAAGACAGGTGGCCAAGATCTTCAGTTCATCCAATATGAAGTCCTTACCAGGAAGGTTGTTACACAAAACTTCAAAAATTAAAAGTTTTAGTTTCAAAGTTACTTGCATATCATCATTTTCATGCATCCAAGAAATCAGGCAGTGTTGCAGAACACTAAGTGCTTTTTCCTACATGGTCCTAACATTTATTAGAGAAGCCATCAAAGTTTGCATATGGACAAAACAACTAGTGTGGTTTACACGGCTGTAAATGAATTTATAGAGAATAAAAACAGGTCAAAATTCCATAGAAATCATAGGTAGATTGTGACATCTCCATGGAAATCCTTTCTGTGTAACTGTCTGGAACATTCAATAAAATAATTGTAAATGTAGCACTTTAATAAATAAATAATATTAAATACTTTGTCATATAACAGTAAAAAATGCCACACAAAAGCTAAACAAATACAGCAGAAACAGATAACTTAAATGCAGCTTATATTTAATAAGAAGTAGGGCTATCAGGAAATAATTTTTTGTCATGCAACCATTTTACTCAAGCCATTAGGTAACTTCAGATGGCAGAAATGGATTTGAACTTCAACAAATAATCAGAAGAGAAAATATTATTATATTACATGGCCCTCCACATTACAAAGGGAATATCTGTCAACAGGAAAGGATGAACTCTGAAATCACAGCTTCAAAAAAATACATACATAAACAAATAAATAAATAAATAGGAGAGATAACTGCTAAGGAGATAGAATTATTACGAGCAGGAGCCACTTGTAGCACTTAAAAATTAAGATTCTATGGTAAGTTTTAGGAAGTGTTAGCTTCTTTTGTTTTGTTTTTTTTTAGCATATTATTTAACCACTTTGCTGTAGCCCTCATCCAACACAGTGGTTGTGAAACAAGCAAAATAATTCCAGATTCAGATATGCAGCAAAATGTCTCCTTTTGGCTTTCAATAAATTAATTTTTACTGCTTTCATTTCTACAAGACATAAATGAAACTTTCTTGGTTTCTAGGAGAAGAGGGCTCACAAACCATAGAATCACAGAATCAACCGTGTTGGAATGGACCTTACAGATCATCTAGTCCCAACCCTCTGCCATGGGCAGGGCCACCTCCCCCCAGATCAGGGTGCTCAAGGCCCCTTCCAGCCTGGCCTTGAACACCACCAGGGTCAGGGCAGCCACCACGTCCCTGGCCAACCTGTGCCAATGTCTCACCATCCTTCACATTTCAGTTTTCCTGATGGCAAGTGATAAAAACTGCTGAATCTAAAACCATGTAAATGGTTTGCTGAAGAGTCACTAAACTGTGCTTATGAGATACAATACACACACCATCCAAGTGGATTTGCAGAAACAGCTATTCTTAGACCAATCACAGCTCCTGCTTTTTAGTTTCATGGGAGGGGAGAGGAGGAGTGGCACAGTGAAAAAACAACAAGAAGCCAAGACTGCCTCAGCTTATTTAAATGGCTCTCATCTGAGCATACAGAGATGAGGAGCTGATTAGTGTGAGGCAAATATGATATCTCCCTTCCTCTCTGTATGTCAAAATTTTTAAAATCAGCATAACCAAGAAAAGAGCATGGCATTAACGACAGCTTCCCTGCCACAAAGTTACCTTGAACAGTGCTCCAGCAGAACACCAGGGAGCACACTTTTTTTACTCTATAAAGACAAATTTATAGCCATTTGTAGGAGTCTTTAGACATTACATTTCTAAACATGAAAGCTAAGGGGTGGGTGGGGAGGAGGAAGTTTTAGCAACTAATTTTCAAGGGATAATAATGAGTGAAAAGGAACAGGAAAGAGGTGCAGCAAGGGATGTTTGCTTTAATTCTAGGGATCCTCAGCTTCTTTTCTCCTTTTTCGATGGGTAGCAGCACAACTATGGTAACAGGCATGACTCTCCAAATGGTAATGCTGAGCCAAGTAGTACTTTGAGACTGCAGAAAATACACTCCCCACAATATGAGAACCTCTGCTTTAAAGCAGATATTCTGAACTATCTGGAAGTATTCAGGGCCAGGCTGGAGGGGGCTCTGAGCAATCTGATCTAGCTGAAGATGTCCCTGCTCACTGCAGAGGGCTTAGACTAGAGGTCTTTAAATGTCCCTTTCAACTCAAACCATTCTACAATTCTATAAACTTTCAATTAATGATTATAAACAAAATAACCAGAAATTAGTGATGTTATCTAAGTTACCAACAGAATAATTTTATATACTATATGACATGTACGTAGATGCTTTTCTGACAGTGGATTATTTGGCTAGAAAGACAAAAAATATTTTACACTTCCTCTTTTGCAAGCACAAATAAAAAAATGTAAAACACTTTAAAGCACTTTTTTCATGGAAAAACCTGAGTTTTAATTAATGCATTTAGAAAATACTTCTGGTCTTCAGAAAAATCTTTTTATTTTATTTAACCATTTGCAATTTACGACCTGAACAACTTCTAAGCTCAAAATTCTACTGACATACCTATGCTTTTTTTCAAAACCAGCTCTAAAATTTTCCTCTGCCACAGCACACAACTCCAGACAGAGCATTGCAAGGATTTAGTAATTAACAAAGGCGATGGAACAATGAAATATTATGAGCTTTACCTGGAGAGGAAGGAGCACTGGAAGACTGGTGGTCTGTGGAAAAGGATGGCCAGGAGCGCTGACAATCTGAGTCAGAATGAAGATGCACATGAAACAGAGATATGAGAAGGGAAAAAATAAAGAAGAAAGAAGGTCCAGACAGGCAGCCAAGGAGATGGAAACAGAGCTAAAATATAGTATATGTTCTACCTGACACAAAATACAAAATACTGCAGAAAAAGAGTTGCCATGAAATTCTATTAGTGTGCATTACATGCTGGCAGAATATTCGTCTCTCCAAACCCATTTCATGGCAGTGTCACTTGCTGCAACACATTACTCCCACCATGCCAGTCCCATTTGGAGGAAAGCAATCTATGTTTGACCCTTTCTTCCTCACTTGAGGATTTCCTCAAGTCTTTCCCTTTCCAAAGTGTCCAGTCTCATATGGGTCAGACCTCTCTTGCTCTGGTTCATACTGTTCACTGTGCAGCTACCTCCTGGTCAGATTTCAGTGCTGGCAGGTGGACAGAGCAGTTCTGACGCCCATGTTTGAAGCTTCTGAACACATCCCATAAAAACTATTTGAAGCAGTCCACTTCCACCATTTAAACCAAGTGCCTGCCTCAAGCTGAATTTCTTGGGGAAAAGTTTCAGGCATGCAAGAGGAGTCAATGATGAGAAAGAGACTCAGCGAAACATAACCTTTATGCTATGTTTAGTTTTTTTAAATATTGCTATACTTTAAAAAACTATTCCATTAAGAAATGTCTGTGAATTCACACACTTGAAGTGATATTTTTCAGAAACGTTGCCTTTCTTTTGCACAAAGGGGAAAAACTCTCAAAATAAAAATGTATTGGAGTAGAAAAGCATCAGAAAACACCCTTCATTTTGCAAGTGCTCTCCCCAAAGCTAGGCACACTCCAGCCACAGCTCTTGGGTCTTTGCTGAACTGATGATGCCAGGAAAAAGTAGGAAGGGAGAAAAAGCTGAAAATCTCTGGTTGCACAAGGATACTGGCAGGGAAGCCAGATGAAGGATCCAGGAGTGTGAAGACTTATATTTAAGTGGGCACCCCAAAAATTTACTGAATATCAGAAAACAGAACATGGATATGTGACTGGAGCCTTTCTGAAGACCAAATTAAACCTGAATAAGCATCCTTTATTTTTGTACATCCTAATTTCTTGTTTCTGAGCTTTTGACTTGGAAGGTTCAGTTTTCTGTGTAGGCAATCTTACTCGCAGTAAGTACAAATACACCCCATCCTCTTTATTTCTTTGAGTTGTTGTGAGAACAGTGTTAGGTAACCTCTCAGGTCTACCAAGCTCAGGCTGCCTGGCTAGGAAATAGAAACTGAACCTATGAAGGCTGTCAAAGCTCCTCTGATATTTCCCCAGGATGATGGGAATTTCTTGCTCATGTAAAACAGGTGACTTTGTGGCTCTTGCTGCACTCCTCATCTTGCTCCACCATGCTCACACACAACAGAGATGCGCCACTTGGAATACAGAAGAAAAGTGGAAACCACAAAATGGAAAAAATCAAGGATTGGTCAGAAGGAGTTAAGGAGAATCATTTTGTTTTCCGCTGCTTTAGGACCTTAATTGCACCTGTGTTCCGCATGGGTTCAGAGGAAAAACTGAACCTTCTATTTTCAGACAACTTAATCCAAGCCTGAGCATCCTTGAACTCAATCACTGAAAAGAAGCCTCTGCTGTCCTCAGAAAACTTACAGGTGGCTCACAGCACTCTCACTAAATCACAAAAGTCTTTTGCTGAGACCTAGCTCTAATCCTAGAGTCGTTGGGGAGCACTCAATTGTTAAGAAAGTGCCTAAGCAAGCACATTAGAAACATCACAGGACTGCATGGCTGCTCAAGTGATCACAGAATCCAGACAACCAGTAAAATAAATTATTTAATATATGGGTCCCCATCTGTTCACAAATATCTACAGCACATTTTTACAGGAAGAGATGCATGTGTTGCAGAATGCACAACACTGAGGGTCAAACCTAAAAGTTTTTTTCCATCCTGATCTATTTATTTAGAAATTAATTCTCATCTGTATGCTCAGATAACTTAACTACTGGATGAACTGCACTTTATTTATAAGCAATTAACTTTTTCTATTGGTTATATATACATGAACAATTTTTCTCAAGAATAAAAAAACCAATAGAGATCATCTACTTATACAAATGAGTGCTCACTTCTCTCTTTGTAATGAAACAGTGGGTACAATTGTGATTAGAAGTGTGAGAATGTACCTTTTTGCCTGTTTAGATCTCCTTGGCTGCAAAAGATTTCTTAGAGACTATATGACACTAGACACACATGAAAAGCACCACAAACACTACACTGTCATAAGCTGGCATGCCATAAATAGAATTATTTTCCTCAACTTACCAAGCAATTTTAACATTCCTGTTTGTCCTGTATACTTGTAACAGTTTAGAGAGCAGAATGCAGATAAAAAAAAGAAAAAAAGATAAGTGTCAGAAGAAATTAGAGAAAATCCCTTTACTGAAAGATACAGAGCTGATTTTTGGAATGGCAAAAGTAGACTGACAGCAAATCATGTTGTCTGTAATCAGCTTGGAAATACAGTGGTAAAAGGTGGGACTTCACAAATCTAATAATGTGAAAGGTTCTTTCATTCGATTGCTTTGAAGAAAGGTGTCTGTACCCAAATTCTGAGACAGATTAAATTTAGTGCTTGTCCACCTTTTAACAGGTATGTTATTTCTAACACCAGATGCAATCTGCAATCATTCCTTAATGGAGGCCAAGAAAGAGTGAAAAAGCATGGATGATGCAGAACAACACAAGGCAAGCACACCAAAAAAGTACGTGGAAGATGATACTTTCTGCTTGAAGTAAAATATGCCTGATGCCAGCTCACATTGCTATATCTTATTTTAAAGCTCATTAAATTTAATTACGTCAGCCAAATTTCTGAGGAGAAAAAACATAAGTACTTAAGGTATCTGTAATCAATATAACACACCTTAAAATTAAATCTTATTCTTGCTGCCAAAATTTGAGCAAGGCAATAAGAGTATAAAAGCCACACTGCAAATTCAGAGTTATTCTGGAAGTTCATTACAGCAAAAGCCAATATAAATAAGCTACCAATTATAAGGTGATTATCAAAATTCTTTCTTATTTTTCCTCATACTGTACAATTTGTACAACGACATTTAATAGGGATGGATTCACATTTATCTTAAGTACTTCTGCTTTCAAAAGGTGATTCATGGCCTACTCCACTGAGCATATGGCAGGAGCACATGATGGTCTCATGTAGCAGACCATGTTCAGTGCAGCCAAGACATGTCAATCCTCTTTTGGTTCAGGTACAAGCACAATAGTAACACATCCTGGGTAAATTTCATATGGAAAAGCAGAGAGCTAATCCGTGTAGTTTCAATGAGTTACAGAATTGGGAAATGTATGCACCAGCCTCAGTCAGTAGATCTTCTGGCAGGCAGAAATGATATAGAATTTCATTTGTCTGCAGTGGAGTACACTCATTGAAGAAATGGTTAAATCTCATCCAGACAATCCAGAAACCAAAGTCAAAAAGCAAAGTATTCTTGCTTTATAATGACAAGAGTTTGTCCTGTCCTTATCTGCTCTGCTACATATATTAAAAAGACCTGTGTGTAAATCTAATAATAGAAGTCATAACAGTTACTGGTATTTTATAATAGAAGTCCTTACCAGAATTTTCATACGCTTCAAAACTGAAATCAGGTCTCCTGTCCTCTGTCACGTGGTCATAAGTGATGTGTGGTATAGTCAACATCCTATCTGGAGAAGAAGGCCCATTGTCCCTGTCTAACTTAAATTTCTTCTTTTTAACCTAAAAATACACATACATTAAATTACTCAAAACAAGTCACATTCAGTCGTCTCTTCAGTAATGTCTGCAATAATATTGCAGTCCCCAGTGAGCTATAACCAATTAAAGAGTGCCTCACCAATCACATTTTCATGATCCTACACAGTGTTTCTCATTAAGTTGCCCCCCCATCCTGCCAAAACTGGCTAATCACTAGAATTCTACACATTGTCATTCTCAAATCCCTTGGCTGCAGTAAAATAATCTGCTAGTTCTGCGGCAGTTTATATAAATCAAACTATTCCAGAATATCTTTACCATTTTATGGATGCAATAAATCATACCTTCAGCACAAAGCAAATGGATATATTGCTACTGAACTCAGATGAACCTGGGATACAAGGGAAGATTTTTGCACAAGATCCTCTCCTTCCAGCTTAAGACTACTGTGCAGTACTCTTACAATCAAGAGGATGAAGTATTACATAGTCTAAAAATTCTGTAAAGGGTTTTTTGTTGCTGCTTTTTAAACTAAATAAATTCTTAACTTATGGAATCTGTTGATAGGAAAATAGTAGTATGTAGGCACAAGGTATCTTTACCATGAAAGCTTAGAAAAACACAAAATCAATACCTGAGAGAAGCAGCAGTCTTGTGTTTTTGGTTTGTTTGGCTACTTTTTAACCAATTAAAATTTACTATTTTGGAAATGGCAGTTTTCGTTCTTTTCCTTTTCTTATAGTTTTCCAAACAACAACTGACATGTCTGAGCTAGGTCATTATTACTCTTCTCCAAATCCATAGGTCCATTAAAAAAGTCAAACTTGGGGAACCAAAGCAAATTAAGTTATAGTTTATAATGTTTCTAACACTGAAACAGTCAAAAACTGAAATGTAAATAATAATTTTAAATCAAGTAATAATCTGTAAATCAAACACAACAAATACAGTCTCTAGAGCATAAACAAATTCAATCTAATCTAAAATTTTTAAATTACTATAATAGGAAACATTATTTACTGGTACCATCACTGATTTCTTTGGTTTTGGACTGGGTGACAGCAAATGATAATTTCTGGCAGGTTTCCGAATGTATATTTTCCATGTAGAAGATTCTGGGTTTTCTGCTGCGTAGCATCTCCATGCAGTCTAGAACAAATGTTTTAAGCAACAGAATAATTAATCAATCAAATTAGTGACTCACTGTACAACACAGTAACTTCCAAGTAGCACATTAATCATTCTTTATTTAATCGTATCCTTGGGTTTGCCCTCTGGAAACAAACTCAGCATGGTTTAGAACCCTTATTTAGTAAACAGAAACCAGGGCAAACCAGAAAGAAAGAGCAATCTTTTCCAATGCAACTTTTGTTCTCATTAGCAACAAATAAATAGAGAAAATTCTAGACTGGACTCAAGAAATAGGTTTACATTTATTGTTCTGTCCCCGTTTCCCTCCCTGACTATAAGAATTTTGCCTATTGTGTCCTGTGTTTCAGGTTCTTACTCAGAAAAAAACCCAAGAATTGTTCTTCCATGTCTCACAGGAGTACTATCAGAAAAAAAAAAGGAATTGTGATGTGGTCAGTAGTGTGATATTCATACCAAGAAATAAGACTGAGAGCACAACAAAATAGTAGCAGTGGCTAACCAGAAGCCAAACCCCAAACCAATCCTCCCTCTTGCCAACCAGCAATGATTGAAGTACCATGTTCTAAGGCAAAAAGGAGGAAAAGCAGGGCTAGGAAACAAGACCAACAAGCAACAAAACAATACTGCATTCTTTCTTAAATATGTAAATATATTTGAGTATATTAATAATTATTCTCCAAAATAAAAAGGCAGATCCTCACACACTACATGGAGAAAGGACACACACGTACATTCACAAAATCTAAAGCAGAAAAGGCCAGAAAACACTAGATGAAAGAAACAAAGCAATGCAGAGGAAACCAGACAGCAGTTGAAAAGCAAAGGATCAGACAACCACCATACAATTCCCTCCATGTTTAATAGGATACTGGAAGAAACAACTGGCCTCTAGCAGAAACCAAGACGGAAAAAGAGAGAAAGAAAATCACACACATGAGCTGATGTCTTATTTTGTAAACATACTGGTTTAAGAAAAATCTTTTTGTAAGTTATTTGTAGAGTACTTATCAAATTGAGATTCAGATTAGAGGTTAGGAAAATTTTTTTCCCTGTCAGGGTGTTCAGGCACTGGAATAGGTTTCCCAGGGAGGTGGGGGCGTCACCATCCCTGGAAGTGTTTAAGAGGTGTCTGGATCTGGCACAGGGTTTAGAGGTTACAGCAGAGTGGCAGGTGAATGGTTGGACTTGATGATCAAGATGTCTCCTCCAACCTTGACTGTTCTAAGGTTCTATGAAATTAGGCTTTCAGAAGTCTGAGACTATTAGCAAATCATAATTACTGCTATTAAAAACAGGTAATCAGCAACTGATTTTCTATCCACTACTCCTCCTTAACAATTCTGATGGAGCCAAGTACAACATTCTGGACATGCAGTCTCAGGCTTCCCAGTAGTTTGAGGGTGATTTCCTAAAAGAATCAGTGGGAACACTAAAAAAAAAAATCCATTCTTTACAAAACCATACCATCCGAGCCTCAAGATTTTTGACTAATCTCTGGTTATAACCAGAGTCTTTTTCACATTAACTGTGGGACTGTTTAGTTTCAAGCATAAACTTTACAGTTAGCTACTGTTTCCATAAAGAGCCTGACCTGGAAATCCACATTCACTCATGAAGCTAGAGAAATAAGTCATACGAGAAGACAAAAATGATATGGCTTAGGTGTACCTCTAGTTCTCTTTTAAATTTGATCCCTGTGCTTCTAAAGCTACATGCAGATACTGAGTAGGGGGAGGAAAAGCTGCAAAAACCTAGAAGGAAACAATATTAATACTTCCTCAGGGTGCAGTGCTGGCTCCAATGAAGTAAAGGATAAAGTCTCATTGACCATACTGACACTGAACTGCAACTGCATTTCTGACAGAGGGGACTGAAATTTTCCTGCCTGTAAGTTATGCTACATGAAAAGACCCATTCTGCAGAATCCCAGTGGTTCCCAGCCACCTATCCTGGAGTTGAAAAGTTCAAACAAGATTTTCCTATTCAACATTCTGACTTGTTTCTCCTAAATTTGAGAGTTTTAAGAATATATTTGTCCTAAGGAAATTGAAACATATTTGACATTTGTCTTTACAAACAACAACATAGTTTTTAAAAGCCTCCTCTCCTCTCTGATTTTTCACTACTACAAGCATAGTACTTCATAACAGTTTCCCCAGGTAAATTATTCAATAATTACAGGATAACCTTCAGTTTTGATTTTAACCAGCTGAGTTAAACAGCTTGCACTGAATTGAGAGTCAACTTTCTGCTCATTAGTTTACATTAAACGTAGGATTTCCAAAACCATTTAAAAGACTTGCATCTGTAACTCCTGTACAATTTTTAATGGGAATCAGGCATGGAAATACTGCCAACCATTTTGGGGATAAAAGCCTACTATAAATGGAAAGAAACGACAGTATGCAGGAACTCAGTACCTGTATGAGCGAGGCAGCTGCTGGAATTTGACGGTTGAAATGTTTCTGTCTTTGTTTCTGTTGTACCTTTAGGGCAAAGCCTGAACCAAGAATTCCCTGAGGAAAGAAAGAAAACATAGGTTTATTTTAAGGTGGAGGAAAACACACATAAGCTTGCCAAATTTTGTTGTATTAATATACTCCTATTCAGCATCATAAACCCCATCTAACAGTTCAGAGGAAACGACTTATTGCTGTGTAGTTTTTAGACTCAGTATTTCTTGTTGAAACAGCCTGTGAATGGTATCATGCCCTGATCCAAAGCCTGTTGTACTCTTACCCTAAAGAGCAAGCAGAAAGGGTATTTCATACTTTCCAAAAGCCTCACAGATGCTTGTGCAGGAGGAGAATGACAGAATAGAGAGACATATCAACCTGATGTGCTTAACTTCATTTTTATGAGAAATAAAGCTTTGGCATGGCATGATTCATGTGACAAGACCTTCTAACTTGGGTAATGCAATTTCTATTTCCATATGTTAATTCATGCTGAGAGGGGAGGAAAGAGGACAAAGAAGAGGGAAAGTTATATTTCAAAATGGTCAGGACTTCAGTGAGTTCAACACAAGGCTATATAATTTACTCTCAGGACAAGGGACATGGACTAATGGCACTAAAGTCATTTATGTAGTCATTTGCACAGCTATAGACATATTTAACACAAGTTTTAGTATCACAGGTAAAAATGAAATCTTCTATAAATCAATTTACATTATTACACCTACTCAAAGAAAGCATAATTCTTTTTCTACATATAGCAGAAGGCAGCAGAGCAGACAGGGATCTTGGATCAACCTTTAAGAATTGTATTAATTCCTTGAAAGAAACAAGAAATGCCCTTCCTAATATGTTCATATAATAAAGATCAAGGAGGTGATGATGCTCAAACATGACTTACATGGGAAATAATGGATGACTGCTAGATCCAGAACCCATACAAGTTGCCTTTAGCCACAACAATTACTTTCAACTCTGATCTCAGACAGATCCCCTTATGTAAAGCTGCAACAAGGCAGCATGCAATAGCGCTTCAAACCCTAAATTTTCCCCTTGAGCCAACTCACAAGAACAACTTAATTCAGTAAAGAAAATCACACTGATAAAGGAGGGTTTGTTGTTGTTTTACTTCAACAAAGATTAGGGAATTCTGACAGGTAAACAAAGCATGGCAGTGAGTGCATGGCTGCTACACAATCATTTGTAAAACACCTTTGCTGGCATTCAAGTCTCATTTAAAAAACACACCACCACCATTTTAAAATCAAAAAAGTAACTTTTGGCATTTTATTTACCAGATCTCTCTTCTAAAATAAATGTGAAAGATACTAGAATTAGGAGAGAGCAAATACATGCTTTAAAGGCAAACTGATGCTGGAGAGTTTAAAAAATTACACTTAATTATCCTCCTCTGCAAAAAGAGGTTATGTACCTTTAAAATAAGCAACTAATTTGAAAAAGCCACTGGAGTTTTAGTAGCTTCTATTTCATGTTGTGAAGAATTTTTGTGATGGTACTGGCAGAGAAGTATTCTCCTCATCCATCCTGTACCATCCCCTCCAGGTCCCTGCCACAACTACACAAACATCTGCTAACACAACTGAACTGAATATGTCACTGAACTAAAAAACTTGCAGAAGAAAAATAAACATTTTAACAGCACATTTCAGGTGGCACAAACATTTTAACAGCACAATTCAGGAATGCTGCTTAATTTGTGGAAAACACACCCTTAACTGCCCTTGGCACTGAATATTTGGGTTTTCAAACTACAGTCCAGGTTTCGGTGATTTAGAATTTACCCTTGGTACTCAAGCACCTTGTTTCTTGTTTGAAAGTACTTGGCAACCTGTTTTCAGTGCAAACAAAGTGCCATAACAGCTTTAAAAGGTCAACTCTAGAGCACTTTTGAAAACAGGGCCTTGGCCATGGACAGATGCTAATTTGGCAAAGAACTGCATCAGTGTCCCTGGCTGCTGATTGCTGTGTCTCTGCCAGTGACACCTTTTTGGCAGCTTTGCTAGAAGAAGGATGTGTGTGAGAAATCTACAGTTCACCTTGGACCTAATCAGTTGAGTAAACTATGAGTGAATGACTTAAAAAGTTAAAACATTGCTAAGTCACTGAATCCAAAAGTGATTAGAAATAATTTCCTTTACGCTTCTGAGACGGGCAGAAAAATACTTTGAATTAAATATATCTCTCTTTCTCAAATACATCCCAAATCTAGTGTTGCATACAAAAACCACTACGTATTTACTTAGCTACTTATAGAAGCTCTTTTGTTTCTACAAGCTAGATACATTTCAACTACAATATTAAAGTTTAATACAAACCTTTCATAACATCAGGTTAAATGAAAGGTTAAAGAACCAATAACAAAAGATTTCACTAGTAACTAATGAGTCAGCACCAAATTGTGAGCAGAAATACATGATAACCTACCGCAGGCAGAGCAAAAAATGAAATTGCAAATACTGAAAAACAAGATGCAATGGTCTTTCCTATCCAGGTCTGAGGCACTTTATCTCCATAGCCAATAGTTGTAACAGTCACCTGCAAAGAGAAATCCAGAGAGCATTACAACAAATGTTAATGTGGGAGCTTTGAGTGGTTATTCTCTCTTCCTTTTTTATTTATTTTAAAGAAACATTAGCTGCATTCCTAACCCTCCCAGTGACAGCCTGTGACACTAATTAAGGTAACTCTCCTCTCCAGTTTGCTTCCTCATCTAATACTAGATGGAAAAACAGAGGAAATTGAATTACAACAAAACACATCTAAAATCTTGCAAAGCAAAACCATTAATTTAAGTCTTTGTGGCTAGGGCAACTGTGCCGAGTATGAAGTTACTGGGATATGGGTTGCCTGCCCATGTCACACACTTTGCTTAGCAGAAAGCTGCCAACAGTTCTGAACTGCTGGTTTTCTTTATGGGCAGGAGCTGTTTGCTGAGTATTACAGGGCTGCTGCATAGAAAGACCATACTGTAGCTGTGCACTATGACTGAGGTAAGACATGAAATATTCTAGAGATAATATTGTTATAAATAGCAAGTAAAGCTGGAAAAAATTCCATTCAGTAAAGATCCTGAAAACAGTCTAATGAATTACTAATTCATATATTACATTGAGAGCAAGAACAGATAATTTAAAGCACACATACAGGAAACATCTGTCCAGTTTGCATTTCAAAACACTGAAGTAAAGATTATCACCACAGCAATGAAGCATAACAAGGCTTAATAAGTCATTATTTGCATGAGCTCAAGGAAAGAATGTATTTGTTTGAAGCAGAAGGACACATTTGGCATCTGAGAGCAATTTAAATTCACCTATGTCACCAGCTATTTCTGAATTTGGAAATCAGAGAGATTTTATCTGTGGCTTTGAAAAAGGTTAACCAAATCAGAGCATGGGAAACCACATGAAACTCTCAAGCAATTGAAGCACACCCCAACTGCTAACTGTTCAGACTTTGTTCTGATAACACAGGTTTCTAGTACCACAATAATGTACACATCTCCACCTTCTCCTACAGCTGCTACTAGTTCACCTATCTGTCTGTTCTAACACAGATTACCCAGCAACAGCAGAAATGCAGGCAATGCCCAGGGCAACACCTCTATGGGAGGAGAGAAGGGAAGGGAAGATTTATAGAGGCAAGATGCTTATTAAGGGGATGAAGGGATGGAGAACCTGGCTTTGGGGAAATAAAAGCTCATGACAAGAGCTTCAGGAAAGGTGTGGCTGTCACCCGCTTTAACAATTGTCCAGTCCTACTAAAAGATAAGACGCCAGAGGGAAATCCCATGGATCTAAGATTTGACCTCAAACACACAAAGCAAGCCATCCATACTCAAACTGTCCACCCACTAAGCAAAGTCATTATGTGTCAGTCAAACACATGGCAAAGGCACAGCTTTAGCTGCTTGAGGTAGTGATGTTTACTGCAAGTTTGTCGCTGATACTAAAAGACATGAAAGTATTAGCATTTGATTTTTAATACAAGTTTTAAAAACGTGGCCTATTTCCAAAACTGTTTCCAAAACTGTTTCATACCCTACAAAAGCATTTTAAGAATTGGTAATGTAAGTTAAGTACCCAAGTGCCTTTGCCTCTGTTCCTGAAATTGTTGTTAAAATACCACCTTAATTCAGAGCCTGATGAGGGACTGAAGGGGTGACATAATCTCCTTACCCACATGAGGGAGTTGCTTGAAAAAATAAAATCCTAAGTTCTAATTACAATTTCATGTTCAAAAATATGGTATAAAAAAGTCAATATAATTATGTCAAAAGTGTTGGCCTTCAATACCTTCTTACACGATTATGAGAGAAGATAGCTGTTTATGCCTCAATTTTTTGAAAGAAAATTGTAAATCCTTGTAATTGTAAAGTTTTATCAACTGCTTACAATCTTAAACTCATGTTGAAATATATACATTAACCACAAATGTGAAAAGAATAGGTGCTTTTGAGCTGACTGAGGTGTAACTGAAGAACAATTCATATACATCTAAGAAGTATTTGTCTCTCCTTTCCCACCATGCCCCAGCCCATCCCTTCTGAATTGGTCTATATGAAGCATGAGTGACACAAAAAAGTATTTTCTATGATGTTTGTTTAGGAGGGGGTTTTTTTACAACCATTTTGGAAATTGGGTTGCAAATCAAAGTGTCTAAGTTAGCATTTTTCACTGCCCTCATAACTCTAAGTCATCAACAAATGCATTGTATTCCAGAATTACATTTTCTTTTTTCCCCAAAATATATGCTGTTGAAACCTTACATGCCAAGTTTTTGCCCTAAATGAATTTTTACAGCCAGATTATGACCCCCTAAAGAGTACAAGTAAAAAGAGTACAATACTAATTTTGCAGTTGTAAAATAGGATCTTATAATGGAAATAGTGACTCAAGCTCTACTCCAGCATAGTAAACATGTTGGCATAATGAAATTAAATTGATACAAGAGCTCACACATTAAGTTTCATTGAAAATCAGCATGTAAAACAATTGTTTTAATTAGGAACAAAATCATATTCATCCATTGACTATTTTAGAACTTTGATCTGATGAACATCATCACAGGCATTGGTATTGAGACTAATACTGCTCCTATTAAATATGCATCAATAGTCCAAAGGAGGGAATATGAAGCAAAAACCCACACAGCAAGAATAAATAGTAACATTCATCAGCACTGAATAGGGAAGGGATTTTATCCAAGGCTATATGAGGCTAAAGTGAGTACAGGAAACTAATCATGTGAGTAATGATCTGTTGATTAAATCCTTGCTGTTTGTCATACAAAAATTTGGATAGTTAAACAGCTATAAAATACAAGCATGCACGATTCAGGGGTATGAAAAAGGTAAACGACACAGGACTGAGGCAGCAAACAGAAGCTAAAAGACTGAAAAAGTTAAGCATTAGAATCATAGAATCATCAAGGTTGGAAGAGACCTCTAAGATCATCGAGTCCAACCATTAACCTGTCACTGCTGTAATCCCTAAACCAGATCCTCCAGAGCCAAATCCAGATGCCTCTTAAACACTTCCAGGGATGGCAATTTTAAAACATAGCCCTATGGGAATAATTTTAGGCATATTGCAGGAAAATCACAGCAAAGTTACCTTCAGACTCCTCCAGCCCCATTTCAACAGGAGCACAATTTGTGCTAATTATTGAAATTTAAATGAGAACTACATTTATTTATTATAATAATTCTTGCTAGATCCTGATATAGAAAATTATTTCTGTTTTTAAATACTTTTTGTTCCATCAAATGAAAACCAACTTTTTTTACTGTATTCTTCTAAATATAATTTTTGTTCCTGATAACTTCTCACAGATGTTTAAGGATTTGGGGATTAAGAAAATAAATCCCACAAATGTTCCATAGATGCAAAGATATCTACATCTGCACTTTTGAAGCAATAATTTTAAAAGGTTTCTCCACATCTATCCCACAGATCTTCACTGAATGAGAACAAAATGTGGCTGGAACTGCTCATGGAGTTAAAGCTCAGGGATGAGAAAGTAGCTGCAAAATGAAGAGATGGCTTGCAAAAAGCATTTAAAAGTATCTTCATCTTTCAACCTGTGCTCCAAAAATTCCTAAAATAACCAATACCCCCCAAAAAACCTCTAAACACTTCATCCCAAAAGTTAGAATTAAGAAAAGGATATAACAGGCCTACAGATGGTTACAGACTTGTAAACCACACAGAGACTAAAAATGACATGTCACCTTCTGTCAAACACTGAAGTCATTGTACAGTCTTCAACTGCTTTTCTAATTGAGAAGGGGGGAAAAAAGGGTTCTGAATAACACAAGATCCTTTTATATACCTATTTTTCAAATTTATGTTCACCTATTTTATAAATTAAATCATCTCATTTAGCAGAACTTTTATGCACCTGCAGTTTCAAGTGGCATTTCCTGCAACTTTTCAGCAAAGTTTGATTTTCAATTTACATTTACAGTGGATATCAAAAGAAGAGATCCTCTGAGTATGAGGCATGATTGAAATGAATGCTAAGGGGGCTGGGGCGGGGAGGAACCACCACCACTAAAACAAAACCTCACAAACAAACAGAAAAAACTCCACAAAAAAATCCAGAGTCAGTGAGCCAGTAACATTCTTCATGATATTGACTAGATGATCCTCAGGGGCCCCTTACAAATCTGATGATTGTCTGATTCTGTGATCTTTGACAGATTTGAGGAGAACATATATATTTTTAAGCATCCTTTTTCAGTTTTATTTTTAATTAGTTCTTCTTTTTATTGCCATGAATCTATATTAGGTCTTTAAGACCATCAATCTGAACATGAAGGACAACATAAACAGACTAATTTTGAATACTGGCACTGGGGAGCTGAAAGATGCATCATGTTACTTCTATTTTACTTGCAAACATTAAACTTGTCTTTTGAAAGTCATACAGATATGCAGCCACTGGCAGAATTATTTATACAACTTGCACTGCATTCAAAACCAGCAATAACATAGATAGATCTTCATGCCATGAGGTAACCTTAGGTTTCTTCAAGAAGCCAATAAACTAATGTGGTGAATGGCTACAGCTCAGAGTTCTCAAGGAAATTCTAATGAAGCTGAGGAGGCCAAATTACATATGAAAATGGAAAAGCAATATAGATTTATAAATAACAACAATGACAATGAAGAACATCTAATTTGAAATTATATACCCTATGGGTACGCCTATAGTCAGCAAAGCACAGCAATATAAAAGTACCCAATTCCAGATGCAATTTAGTTGTGGTAACACAGACCTTTTATAAGGCCTATTTTAGCTGTAGTACATATTCTGTTACGGCTACCTAACGAACTTGTTTAGCAGTGTACACATACATCGAGATAACAAAAAAAATGCAATGTTGTGGAGTGAGAAAAGGGGTGTGAAAACACTAGCAAGCACTTTTTGCAGCATTGTCTTCTATGTAAGGTAAGTGGACTTTAGGGAAGTGAGATCAGCTGCATTACTGGATCATGTATCTGTGATGCTGTCTGAGACAAGAACTGTGAATTATCCTCTGCTGCATGTACGTGTTCAGATTGAGAGATATTTTCAGTTACCAGAATTTGTGGTGTTTAAGCAATTCAGAAAATTCTGGTTAAAACATAGCCGAAACTTTTGAGTTCTAACACTTTGAGAAGGCTTTTGTATGAGTTTGAGACATTCATTAGGAAGAATCTTTGTGACCTCCCAGTTATTCATAGAATCATAGAATGGTTTGGGTTGGAAGGGACCTTAAAGACCATCAAGTTCCAATGTCCCCGCTGTGGGCAGGGACACGTTCCACTAGACCAGGTTGCTCAGAGCTCCATCCAACCTGGCCTTGCACACTTCCAGGGATGGGGCAGCCGCAGCTTCTCTGGGCTAACTTCTTTGTCCTAACTTCACAGGGCTTTTTTCTAGCACAAAGCACAAAGAATATTCCAGTATCAAAACACCAGAAACAGATAGACCAGAATCCGTTTCAAATTTGTTCTGCTAAATCTTAGGAGTTATACTGCAGCACAACAGAAGTTATAACAGAGAAAGAATGTTATAATTAAATTTCTTGACTAAATAAGTTCATTGTACTTAGGAAGACAAAATAACTGGCATGCCTATTATCTGAGCAATAATTCCCTGAAAGGAGAATATTTCAATATCCTGACAGATCGTATTGCTTCTATGGAAGGTTTTACTGTATTTTCAGTAAGCCAATCTGGTCTGTCACATACTTAATTTTTAATGGCAACGCCAATGACAGCATGTGTTTTTAAATGCAGCTACATCTGCCACTGTTAATTACTGAGTCATCTGACCACTGTAGTGGAAAATAAAAATGCCATAATGACATGAAAGCATTGAATAAGCTACTTGACAGAAAGCCACTTCCTTGTGCTATGCAGCAAGTCTCCTGATCCTAAGAAAGGCTGTATTTAACCATGGCAGACAGCAAGAAGAAAGAATTCTGCAGCAGATCATAGCAGCAACCTAAACAAAACCTGTTGTATTCGAAAAGGGCTACCTATGCATTTCAGCACCAGAAGACCTGCAATAGACTTAGCCATCAATACATCTTTCCTTACTGAAACAGCAAGGTGGTACTGTCTGTAGAGAGAAGTCTATATAAGCATGTACAAGCAGAGATTTATTAAAAATATTTCTTTATATGTATATATAAAACATACATCTATTTCTTAAATACATGTATATTTTATTAGTGAAACAGAGGTGCTAGTCCTATCATTCCTGTATGTAAGCCTTATCAGTAGTCTAACTTTTAACAAAACAAGAGAAACTGTGCCTTTTGATTTAAAGCAGTCAAGAAAAAGCTCTAGAAGATCAGCACATTTTGAAAATGCAAGCATAAAATTGTTAGTGATGCCTATGCATTCTAAAGATCTGCAGCACTTAATGACGACACTGTCTGATTAAGCTATAATGTCTTATAGCAGATAAAAACAAGTCATTGCTTGAAGGCTAACCATAAGGAAAAACAGCTTCCAAAAAGCACCTTTCCTTGAACTGTAATAGGAAAATGAAAAGGAAAGAATTACAGAAATCCCAGAACAGCAAAGTCAACCTAATATTTGTGTATCATGCAAGAAAAGAGAGAGGGAACTTTTACTATCAGAAGCCACGAAATGCTTACAAAAGTACAATCCCAGAATAGAGCTGCCAAACCAGTAAGTACATATAACAAATGAAAACAGAGAGACAACTGTCACTGGCAACATCAAGAATGCAGAATTTTATTAGCAGAACTAAAGATATATCTACACCAAAGTGTGGCAGCACCTTAGAGAAACCTGAGAAATCTCTAAACAAGATGATGTGTCAGCATAGCACAAATACCACATAAGAATATTACGTGGCTTCCAAAGCACTTTGACCACTTTAGAAGAGTTCTGTGCCTGGATTTCCTAAGTATCTCAGATGCTTTTTGCTCTTGAATTAGTGTATTCTGAATACACTGGGAATTACTGTCACAAGTCAAATTGCAACACATAGATATCTGTTTTAAGGGGAAAAAAAAGGCCAAACCAAACTCAAAAAGACAGAAAAAGAATGCCTAAACACCATGCCCCCATCACCAAAAAAACCCCACTAGCCCTGATTGAGCAAGGTTCTTACTGCTTTAGATGGCTGAACACTACCACGTGAAAGGTAATCACTATAACACTAGGGAAAACAGGATAAAGAAACAGAACAGGTGTTGCCACATTTTTTATACACAATCTGATCACTTCGGATCATGTATGACTATAAACACCAAATAAAACTACTGTTCATCTACAGTATTTTTGTAGTTTCATAGAATTACAAAACCAGAAAGCACACTGAGGCAGTAAAAAGCTGTTTCAAAGTGCTGTTCTTACTCCATATTTGCTTGAAAGTTACTCCAGATTGGACAGTGTTAACTACTTTTAGTACATGTGAAATTGCTATACTTACTACTCCCCACCACAGGGCATCTGCATAGCTGCCAAACTCTGTTTCTCCAGAATCATTTACAGCATCCTTCTCGGCCAGGTACACAAAATAAGAGGAAAATATCAGGCCCAGAAATCCAATGTAGAGTGTAGTTATCAGTTCCTGCAAAGAGAATCAAAATAATAGCATTTAATAATGAAACATTTAAATTACTTAACACTGATGGGTTATAAAAGATAATTGGAACACAACAATGCAATTTCTGCAATTAATAAACATTGACACTGACCGTCAGCTGTGAGAATTAACAAAAATCCACTGAGCAAAATGGTGAAAAGAATTTACATCACAGCTGATGACTTGGTCCAGCATGCACATTTCCAACATAGAGTCAAAAGAACTTCATCACTCGCAAGTAGGACTCATTAACCTTCTGGTTACCAAAACATAGTTGGGTAAGTTCTACAAACAGTGCCAGATTCAAAACAACTTTGGAATTTAGAAACATAATTTTAGAAATATTCAGGCTAGTTTTCAGAAGTCTCATTTTCTGTTGTTAAGTCCAACTACAAGTCAAAAATTTCACAAAGTGGCAGTGAATACTTTTAATCTTTTAGGAACTTTTAGCCTATTGAACAAGGCAGAACCACCATATTTGGTTAAAATAAATGACCACTTGCCTCCACACTAAATATAACTGACGCCAGCAGCATGACTGCATATATGCCCTTCTGAGTGTAACGACTTTTGCATCAGTTGTGCCATTCCTCAGGGTGCTCAAACTTACTTGTCTGTGTATGAACACTACTGATCCCAGCAGCCTCCATGTACCACCCTGACGGTCAACATGTAGCATTCGTAAAATCTGCAGGAAACGGATGCCCCTGGAACACAGTTTTTACATGAATGAAGATACTAAAGACACAAGAGAAGAAACAGAGGTGGAGAGGGGAATCTTGTGTGTTCCAAAGGACCATTTTAGGAGACACACAGTATTTCACATTAGACTTAGCAGCCTCTTTTCACTTCATTCACCCATCCTTCATTTTCTCTGTTATGAAGAGAGCCTGGGGAGACTCTGCAAGCGAAGGACTGATCTTTGTACACATGGCTAGTAAGGATAACTCAAGGATTCAGGAATTTTGGACACAAACCGTGAATGCTCTAGAAATCATTCATCAACTCATATTTGACCTGCTTGCCAGGACGGGAAACAACATACCGAACCAGCTAACTAAAGATCTGATTTCCTTACATTTGTGGAATTTCATAGTCAATTTGAACCAGACAGTCAAATAATATTTTAAAATGTTCATTTTATGGGAGTCACTGCAATCTTGGAGCATTGCTGCAGCTAGTGTGAAGGGCACAACACACTGCGTTGTACTCTCTCATTCCAGAAAACCAAGTAGTATGACCCTCCTGAGCACAAGATGGATTTAGTCCACCAGCAAGTCACAACCACTATCCCCATGCATTTTATGAAGAGGCAGCTTGAAGATATCAGAGATATGAAACATGAAAGAGTTGCTATAGAACTTAGCCAAGAAACTAAAACAGAATTTGGGTAGAACCCACTTGGTTGGAGAAAGAGTGGGCAGGAGCACATGTACCTCTATCCCCACCAGTCATAAATGCATTACAACAAAATATTATTTCCCCTGCACTTAATGAGATCACTGTTTCACACCTGTACATGACTGGTGATCTGTTCTGTTACACAACACTGAGCAGTGATTCATTTTCTTCTGCAAGAATTTAAACAGGAGGTAAAGAAACGTACTCAGCACTACTTTCTTTTATTGCATATAATTACCTGATAGCTGAGGTTGCAAACACCTGACCTTTAGAGCCCACACAAAGAACGATCATGGAAGCAACAACTACAATTAAATCTGGAAAATAAAAGTAAATTGAAGGAATTAGTTAGCAGCATCTTGCAATTTTTCTGCAGGACTGTTCCTAGAATCAATGCCCATATTACTTTAACAAGTTGAACAGTCACTCCTAATTGATATTTTTGTTTAGATATCAAGAGATCTCTATTGTAGTGTACAAAGAAAATATAATCCTGTGATATGATAGAAAACTTTTATTGGGATGAGTCCAAGACAGCCACAGTCTAGACGAACAAAGAGTTGCTGTAAAGCAGCTTGGAATCCTTATTAGCTCTAACCCATGTGGAATTTCAGCAGTTTCTACCCATTCTCTCTTCTGTGTGTCTTATTTTCTGTGCTGTGTTAGACAGTATTTTCACTGACAGATCTGGCATCTAATTTCATATATAAGAAAATTGCCTTACTATTATTTCAACTGTTCATGTCTAAAAGGGAGAGAAAAATTGGAATTAGTGTATGAGTCTAATTCAGTTTAAGTCAGTCAGGACTGTACTCTAAATCTGTGTGCTTCAGGCCTAGTTACTTTTGGATAGAAACTGTATTTTGGAGAATTAAATAGTTCTTGATCCGTATCTGGGAAAGTGGAACTGTTCTTTGCTTTCCAGACTGAAATAAATTGGATGATGTTTCAGAACCCCTAGTGCTCTAGGTCTCAAGAGAAATGGATTGTGGTCAGAGCACGAAGATGCAGTCAAAGCCATTTTATAGTTGCAGTCACACCTGGAATGCAGTTGTTATTTTCATATATATATGTGTATGCACAGAGAAACTAAACTGAAGTATTTTATGATTGTAAAAACACCCAGACACAAACTTTTGCAATTTGCATTCAGCAAAATTATAGACAGTTTATGAAAACCTATATCCTCTACTCAACAACAAGTGATGTTTCTGAATGGTGGAAGAAACTATGCCACAGAACAAGAAGTATTATGCTTCTACAACAATACTCCTCTTCCAAAATATGGTTTATTTAGTTAATTTATATTTTAAGTACTTCAGGGTAACAGTCTTTACATGGTTCTCTCAATATTGGCTAACAAAATACAGATTGATTTTGGATTCTCATGGGGTTTTTTTTCAGTGAAACTGTTAAATGAATGACAAGCATTCTAAAAAAAAATAATGATTCGTTACACATAGGCAATATAGGGATACAATTTCTAAGAACACTGAAGTCATTTTACGAAGCCAACAGAAGTGAATACTAAGGGAAGTCAGGTGTTCAGCTCCAAATGCATCACTGAAAACCATATTTTAATTCAATAGATACACATAGTAACTACAGTGCATCTATTGTGCACTAGCATGCAGTGTGCAGCTCAATTAGAGTGCAAAATAAACTCATAATAAATTATTCAAACGGCTGCTGGGGGGGAGAGCAGGGAGGAAAGGCCTTCAGTGCCTTTAAGAAAAATACAGTTGCAGCTCTTGTACAGTGTCTGGGATCCTGAGGTCACAGGAGACAGGACTATGGCCAAAACTTATTCCTGGCAAAGCTTCAGATCACTTGTGAAAAGAAAGCACACTGCTCTTCTGGAAAAACAAACCAAGCTACATTTGTTCTCAAATGACAGTGCCATGGATTCCTGAAAGGAAATTCAGAGCTACGTTCATGCCAATGACAAGAGCTCTCGCTTTAACTTGGCTTCAGCTACTGCAGAAATTCCACTTCTCAAAACTTTTAGAGCAAGTTTTACTCATTGTTTACATCAACTCTGCAAGCTGTGCATACTCACCGATGATTGAAATAGGCTTCCTAGCAAAGCGAAGCCTTCCCCATACTCCAACGTATTTACTGCGGCATCCTGCTGACCATAGCCGCACCACGTATTCTGTTCCAAAGAATACCACTAATACAATTTCCTAAAAGAAACAGAGAGGGAACTTGGTTAATTCTCTACTGTATGCATGTCTTTCATCTTTTTTTCAGAATGTATTAGGAGGCACTAAAATAAAATGTCAAATCTGGGAGGTGACAAATATGTCAACTGTACCAAAATGAGCTAAAGTAATACAGAAAAATCCTGTTAAAGAAATAAAAGATTAAGAGCAAATTTAAATACTTTAATTGCATGCAGTTTGGCTTGTCTACACATACTAAAACTGAAAACCATTCTGTGCAATTACTTGGTGTAATTCAAACAAAAGGCTTCCTGACTGAGCCAAAGATAACAAGCAGAGTCTGTATTCAGAAGATGAGTATTTTGCTAGCTTATTTCATTTTGGGAAGAGGTGTGCTTAACATTCCATTTACCAGACCAGCTTAACCTCCCCTTTATTTGTACTTTTTCAGTCTTCCTTTAATTTCACATGGATAGAAAAAAGGTTTCTAGCACCCATCAGCAATATGTCAGTCTCCAGGTGCACTGAAAGCACAGTGAGATCTCTAGCACACCTTTCCCATCCTCTTGCTAACATTTAGAGACTTCAGCAGAAACAGATCTAGTCCTGCAGCACAGCTGTAGGAGCTATGCTAAGGTATGACTTTGGAAATGCTTGCTAA